GAGTATGATGATTTAATAAGAGAGATAAAAGTATTATATTAGAAAATACTGATTCAATAGAGTATCTAACACTTTCATTCAAATTTTCCATAACTAGTGGCAAATAGACACATATGAGGGTGGCATATTTTTTAAAGTGTTTATTGGATTCAATTCGGTTGACTTCAGATACGATCTCATACTCTTCGGATTATCATAGAGTTCATGTAGCATTTCGGACAAAGATATTTCGGCTTCAATTCGTCAGATGCCGAATCTCCTTGCTCTTGTTGAGTATGACAACAATCTTTTTGGTCCTTAAACATTTTTGGCTAGTCTATGCATATCAAAATCTCCACTTCTAAATCGCATACTGTCACGCTGAAACATATGGAACACATCTACTATAAGCTCTGGTCTGTATTTTTCAGCGACAATTTTTTCAAATTAAAGCAGTAAATCAAAACTTTCGTCATATTACGTTTTGACAATAACTAAGTGGGAAAAAATGACAGATATGTATATACATATACATTCCCTTCAAATGCCAAATAAGTCACTAAAGACAAAAATCGAGTTCAAGAGGTTATTTTCATATCAATCATCCCAATGAACTAGTCATTATCCTTTGATTTTCCTTTTGGAAATTTGGACAAAAAATTACTTTTTTTTCACAGAAAGATAAAATTTTGTATAGCTCATCTTAAATTCGTCGAAATCACTGCAAAACCTACATGGCATTTGGAAATTTAGTTTATTTTCTGTATAATTTTAAGCCTGTATGAATTGATTCTATTGTATTTGCAGTTTTGATTTTTTTTGTTGATTTCGTTTATTGAAAAAAAGACATCAACCAAAAATATAAATTTTGTATTTGTTCTGTATTGTCTCTGTAGTTTATGACATCCAACGTTATTTTGGTTGATTTAAAACTTCATCTGCATATTATTGGTTAAAGGGTTAGCGCACCTAAAATCTCAAAAATATCAAGTCAATTTCATACAATTTCTAATAAATTGTATCACAACATCACATGGAAACTTTACTAAATATATTTAGCTGATAGTATTTAATATTTACTGTTGCCATATTAATTATTCTCATGGGACACCCTAATCCGTAAAATCAGAAATTTTTAGTTTTTAAAACCTTTTCATATTTTTCCACCACTCCGTACATTATTTGTTTGCTTTTATTTACTCTTAATGCATGGCAAATGCATTTGTAATGTAAATAATGCTGTCGAAAGGCACAAAAACTACCGTCAAAAGAATTTAAATTTTTCGGTGGAAAAAAAAACTCAATAATATTTGGTTTGATCAATTTGATGGTTAATCACTTATAGTGGGAAAAATATTTATGCATTCTTGCTGAATGAAAAAGAGTTATTTACAAATAACAAATACTTTTTTTAAGCCTGTCTGTTTATTGACAAAAAATATAAAAGTTAAAAGTTTGTTGATCCGTAAACAAAGAGTGTGAGAAATTTAAAATGTTTATAATTGCTTTCAATTTTTATCCTTGCATATTATGAAATTTTTCCCTAACAAATCGTATCAGTTTTTCACTTTATATGCTCCACACACAAAAACCGCCACTTATTGGTAATTTGAAACACCAACGATAATTTTACACATTTTAAGTGTAAAAAACCCAATTATTTTCATTTAATTTTCACTCACACTTTAAAGCACCCACTTAAATTTCAGTTTTTAAAACATAATTAAACAAAAACTTACGCAACATTTTAACAGCAACATTTTTACGATATTTCCTTATCAACATGTTCTTGGCTACATGTTTTTTATTATGTATTTGTCATCATCAACATATTCTTGTTTCTGTTTTGATCACTCTATTCTCTAAATAATAACAACAACCAGCTCTAGCTACTAAATAAACCAACCCACCATCACATCATCTGACTAAAAACTCTGCTTCAAAATCTACACTAGAAAAACTCGTATAAACCTGATATTAAAATAAATAAATAAAAACAAAGAGCACTTTAATATAAAGAGACAATAATCGAAAAACAACAGCAATATTTTAATTGTGTGAAAAAAACAAGGGTTTTAATAAGAGAATAATGAAAATAAAAAAAATACATACGGCTTTTGTTACTTAATACAAATAAAAAAAAAACTGTTGCATTTGGTACTAAAGAAATGCATTTTGTTTTTTCAACAAGAAAAAGTAACAAATACAGCAAACGATCGTGATAATAATGATAATATTTGTTTTTGTTTTATTCCCGTCTATAGTTAGTAAACAGTAAAGTAAATGACTGAATTCTTTTGTATGTCTAATGGTTGGTGGTTTAAAGTTTGATTGTCATTTTCTTGTCAAGTGATCAAACTTCCCTGAGACCTTAGTTTGTGAGAAGGAAATCAGAAATTAGATGTTTAACTAGAACTTCAAACGACAATGCAAAATCTCAAAGTTTAGATGCGAAATGTGTGTCGGTTACTTTATCATTATACCGCGATTTCCGATAAAGGAAATGTACGGAACATTATACATATATTTCAATAAAGACTTAAGGACTTCTCAATTGTTATAAAACAAGTTCTTTTTCCCTTCGAAATATTGGATGAATCCCCTAATCCTACGAGGATATAAATGAGATACATATGTTTTACTTAGAAAATTAAGACTTTACATGATTGCCAGAGGTCTAGCAAGTACTTCAAACGCTAATGCAAAATCTCAAAGTTTGGATGCAGCAAGTAAAATGTTCCTATATATACCGTGAATCATAAATTAAACTGCAGGAATTATTCCTATAAGGAATGATAGGTATATATGGGACGACTCTAGATGTTTACCCTGACAAGGATGAAATAATATCTAGTTTAAAGTCAGAATATGTCACAACTTTTGATATCCTACTCAAAGCATTCATCGTAAGTCTTTGTAAGATGGAATGAATGCTTTTAGTAAGATATCAAAAGTTTTCACTCATCGGATATTGAGGTGCGACCCCATATACTGCCAGCATTCCTTTCATATATATATGTATATCGGGATTCCTTTTTCGAGTTAACTGAACACAATTATTGCCCCTACACAGAGGTAAGAAAAAATATACACGCCTGGTACCAAATTGACAGCAAACTGTTTATAATTTTTCAATACCATCCGTTGTCAAAGTATATACATACGTACGACAACACTATTTAATGTTGATAACATTGTAACAATTCGTTGTAGAAATCAAAATTTTATACACATCCGTTGTCTAAATATTAACAAACGTGGTAAGCTCACTATTGACAAACAATCCGTTTCTTACCACGTTTGTTAACATTTAGACAACGGATGAGTATAAAATTTAGATTTCGACAAGGAATTGTTGCAATGTTGACAACGTTGCGTTGTACATTGTATTGTCGTACGTATGTATATACTTTGACAACGGATGTTATTGAAGAATTATAAATTCTTTGGTGTCAATTTGGTACCAGGCATGTGTGTATGGGAATAAGTAAATCTCAACCTCATTACGACAACTGTTGAAATAGCAACTACACCGAGATTCCCTAATTATTAAGGTATACCACTTATACACCTTGGTCGGAGAAGGAGATTTTCTCGAAATTTCACCAAGTTATACCAGGATCATTCAAAATAGATAACTACTAAGTGTTAGCCTGACCATTACGAAACATCAGAAGAAGCAATCACCTACTATAGAAAGGAGTGTTGATGACATCCAACAGTTTCAATGCATTCCTCAACCTAGTCGCGTACCTTAAAATAAACTTATTGGTATCTGTTGAGTAGCACCGAAAAACTCATTCCGAAGAACGCAGCACATTTTTATATAATTATTCCTTCGATTTAAGTTCCAACTACAGTAACTAAATGAAACTCTAAAGGAACCTTAGCCGATACAGGACGAATCCTGCAGGCCATTGACTATCAAATTATGTAATTCCCTAGTCAGAATCCGAGTCAAAAGACTTCAAAGAAGGACTCCGAGGAGACTAATGGCTTCTGCAGTTTATAGTCCCGCAAGACTAGAAGCACCTCCATACCCCCGAATTGCAATAACACCAAGGTGAGGGAGGTTAGAAGAACTAATTGACCGTTAGGAAAGTTTTGTAAGTTAGGGGTCAACATTAAATTTTAGAGTTAAGCTTAACACTGAGAAATCATGTTCAAAAATTCGCATCCATTCTATTAACATCAATGCACTCCCTTAAATTCTGTTTAATCATAATGATGATGTTGTTGTTATTGCATTTTATTTGGGTTTTGGCTTATTTATTATTTGTTTTTGCTATAAACTCAGTTTTGTTGTGTTGTTTAGTTTGGCTCTTTGGCTCGTTCATAAAGATGATCATGATAATAATGATCAACGACGACGCCAACGTTTACTATACTAAAGCCAGCAGCAGCAGCAATAATAACAAAAACAACATTTAATAAACCAACTACAACAAAGCAACACACAGAAAGAAAAAAAAAATACAAAATACAGCAAAAGAGAATTGAAGTCAGTCAAACATATGGGAAAAATGTGTTTCATTTGTTTTGTCGTATTTTAGTCAATAGCGAGATACCGTTTTGAACGGACTTCTGAACAAAACAAAGAAGAAAAAAACAAGAAATCGAGACGATTTTTTTTTATGTAAAAAACCAACCGTGTTTAAAGTTAAACAAAAACAAAAATCGAAAATAATAAAAAAAAAATACGAAACGAAAAATTCAAATAAAAAATACGTGTTTTATTTCGTAAATGTCAAATAAATTATACAATTAAAACCTAACAACTAGAATTTAGAAAATACAAAACAAAAAAACGTTATAAAAAAACAACGGTCTAAATAGAAAAGAAAAAGATTTAAAAAAGTTTTAATAAAAAAAAAATCTGAAAATATTACAATTTGTTATCAGTAAATTTTGTTTTGTATTGTTGTGATGATTTAAATAACGAGTGTAAAATAATAAAGTGAATATATGGAAAATCAAAACGAAATAAATATATAAATTATTATTGAAAAAAAGAAACCAGTGTTAAATGTCAAAATATTAAAAAATATATATATTTTAATATAGAAGAGAAAAAAATTTTATTCAAAAAAAAATTCAAAATTTTTTTTATTTTACAAAAATTTACACAAAATTAAACAACTTCATTTAATATTCCTGCGTTATTTCTCTGTTACTTCTCATTGTTGTTGTATAAATTATGGTGATTATTTTATCAGTGTTTTTATTGTTGCATTTTTACATTAATATTCCTTGTTGAGAAAAAAAAAAGAGTGTAAAAAATAACAAAAAAGAAAAACAATATATAAATAAAAAAAAGTTACACACCCTCAACACATTATTATTATTATTATTGTTGTTTAATAATATTTATAAGAAAAAGTAAAGAAAGAAGAAATTTCTTTTATGAAAACAAAAGTTGTTGAAAATTTCACACATTAAAAAAGAGATCAGAAAAAATTTTAATAACAAACAAAAATTGATTGATCCCCAGCAACCACTTTTTTCATCTTAAAATTTTATAATTTTTAAACGAACCCCTCTCTCTTTTGCAATCTATCACTCAATGTGTTATTTGCTCCCCTTAATACTAGTGGCAAATTAGTGTTCTTGCTCTTAAAAAAAAAAAAAATTCTGAGAAGTGTTGATAATAAACCCTCATCATTTTCTGTTTTTCTGGTATAAACCAAAACAAAAACTACAACAAATGTGGATTAATAACAATTAAAGGTAAGTTTTTTCACATTTGTGGTTTTAATTTATATTTATTATTATTATTTCTTTTGAAAGTCGTCAATTTAAAATCTCTAATATAAAATAAATTTTAACAAAGGTTTTATATATTTTTTTAACAAAACCACCATTAACAATAAAAAAAAAAAAAACAAGTTATGTTAATTTTTGTGGTTTTTAAGACAATTTTTGAGGGCTTCGGAAAAAAACTTAAACCCTGAATTAGCAACAAATTGCTTATTTTTATTTTTTTAAGAGAAAACAAAATTAATTAATTTAAAAAAAAAAACTTTTTGCTGTCAAAAGATTAAGATCGATCTTAAGTGTTATTTATATTTTGTTATATATAATTTTACTCATGTAAGACATTAACCCATATTGGCGGGATTATTTATAATTTTTATTATAATAAATGTTTATTATAAGATTTATAAATAATTTTTCATTATTGATAATACTCTGGGTTGAAGCTTTAACACATGTTGTTTTAAGCTACTTTATAGAAAACTGTAGTTGAAAACTTAAAAATAAATTTTCAATAAATATTTTTAATATTGTTGAAAGTTATAGCTGTCACTTGCCTAAATTTTGGTAGACTGAATTAACAGCGAATTGGAAAAGAACTTGCTCCATAATGTCAAAATTTATGGCTTTCATTTGTTACTTAAAGTCACTTACAGTCCAAATAGAATCATTTTATTCCTGTCTAGAAAGTAGTAATTAAAGCGATTTCTACTTTTCGCAGTCAAAATTTTGGAACTAAACTAATTTTAGTTAGGTTAGATTAGAGCAGGTCGTTCTCGTGATGTCTTCTCTGGGGACACACTTGGGTCCAGTAAATTGATCCCTTTGTGATATCTGTAACGAGAGAAAGCGGTCAGTGTATTAGTACACTTCGACCTAAGCACTCTGGTTTCCTATACCAAATAAGTTTGTAGCACGAATATACAGAAGTCATTACTAGGTAAGTTTAGCCTTCTTGCATGGAGCCAGTCACCTTTGCCGTTAAGTTTCGTAGATTAACTCTCGGAATATAAAGATGGGCTTGGGAAGGGCTATGGGTTGAACGATGGTCACATGATCCTCGCCTGTCTGCAGGTGGCCTAAGTCGATCATCTGCATTACGCATGTTCATATAGTTTTTCACGTATAAAGCGTTTGCAGGTTAAGAGCGGTATGCCGATGAAAGGATCGGTTTGCTGTCTTGTTTTAGTTAGTTTTGACAAAATATTACTCAAATTAATAATTAGGAATATCAATGGTATCAAATTTATTAAATTCTATGATTCTCCAGTATAGTGTAAAGTGATTAAATTTGTTGTCAAATATTACATTGCTTAAAATTTATAATGGTGTGTTTGAGGCTTAATAGAAGTCATTTAGTTGGGTGAAATTGCTAATTTCTTACCTTAACCTCTCAAAACTAACCACAATGCTGGTATGACTTCTGTAGTTTCGGCAACAGCACCTATAAAAGTAGATGCAAATACACCTCCTCATCACACACAACTGACACACTGCGGTAGGTCACGTATGAATCGAGTATAATCCGAAACAATGTACATCCAACAATATTTAACCCATCACACAGATGTTTCATCCAACATAGATTGTGTGGGCCTGCATCCAGCTTCTCTTTTCCCCGGGACTGCAATAACACCAATGTTAAGGTGGTCCAACCCGGCTTTACAGTATGCTGTCGCTATTAAGTGCCAGCAGACTGTCAAATTCTTGTAAACATTTTCGAATTCCACAGATTAGGCTTCAAACTTACTATCGGAGTTATATCTAAACTCGAGGTAACCTTCATTTTTTTAATTAAATTTTAACCATTTCTATAGTGATTTTGACAGATTCCGAATTCTCAAATAAATAGACAGACGAGAAACGCAAAATCAGTTTCCCTATAAACAGGATTTTGTGATTTAGAATGACATAGACAGTGTGACAAAAGGGTGTAAAAAGAGTGAAGATAGCATTTTATTGTGAAGTGGATCAAAGATACAAATTATTTTACGACAATGAATTTACTTTTATGTGACAACATGCTATTCTACGAAAGGACTTGGATGCTTGTTAATTTTAACTAGGTATTACTGTTACCTCAACCAGTTTTTTATAGTTTTATCATAAATCCAAAAGTTCTGTACTACATATGTATTTTATCAGAAATAAATTTATTTTTTTGGTATTTCATAGTAAAAAAACCACTTGCCAACAAACAATTCACAATTTTTGAGATGGAAAATAAAACAAGTGTTTAGTATAAATAAAACGACCTTGTAGGTTAGAGATTTTTTCTTGTTTTAAATGTCAGATGAGTTATTTAATGGTTTATTAATTAAAATTTATAAACAATAGTACAGAATAGTATTAAACATTGCAGATAATTGAAAGGTTAGTAGGAGATTCTAAAATAATACTTTGATTTTAAGATCATTTCATTACCATGTAAGGAGTTAAAATGCTAAAATTTACTTACACAATAGCATTTTAAGTCATTATTTGAATACGATGATGTCATTGGAGGCAAGTACTTGCCACAAACGATTACAAGTAATTAGAATAAGTAGTCATTGTAAATCGCATGAAAAAAAGCTTCTTTATCTTCACTGGCAAGATGACTAATGAATTAGAAAGTATTTATATAACACATTATTAAAAAGACCTTATAATACTACTTCTATGTAATCCAGACAATATGTAGTAGTCATTGGAAAGTATGTTGTTAGGTAAGTAATTATAATTAAAAGCCATTACCTAGTTTTTGCTGGAATATTATTTTATTTGAAACTTTTTTGTACAAATTAGAAATTTTCAAAATAATCGGATCTAAAAATAAATGAATGATTTTTATGTTATTTATTAAAATATACTTATAACTACCATGACTTATTCATAAACTCATTTTTAATTTATAAATGGTTTTAATAAATAAACTTTTCTATGGATTTTTTTTATAAATTATTTCATAAAATTAAATGTTTATGAATATGGGGTGTAGTATCTAGCTTTCATTCATTAATTTATTTATAAAATTTGAATAATTTCTATAAATATTTATTAAAATTTATAATATTTTTTTTATATATTTACGTTTATTAATTACTGAATTCTATTTTTGTCAATTTTTGCGGATATTGCTCATATATTTATTATATTTTATTTTTTTCAAAACAAATTTCCAATGACCAATTTTTAAAAGTCAAAATATGTTACATATCTTCAACAAATGCATAAATAATCATAAACTACAAGCTATGGGTGGGTTGATTAAAGAAACCTCTTAAAAAATACTGCAAAAAAAATCACACACCAACTGAATGAAGGCGTTTAACACCAAATAAAATATCAGTATAGAAAACACCTGTTCAAATATTCGAAAAAAATAGAAAACCATAGATAAAAAACTATTAAAACTATCATAATATTACAAATAAACAATAACCCACCACCACCACAAAATCTTTAATGTTGAAATTGCGAAAGTGTTACAATAATGCCACAAGATAGAAAACATTTTGAAAATCGACCACCAAAAAATATATATAATCAAAAAAACAAATTAATGTCTAGCTGAAGTGTTAAACACATCTTTCTCATTTCCAGTTTTGTATTTCAATTTCATTTTCGTTTGAATATTATAACAAAACACATATATAACAATAAATAGCCGATATTTAAAGTAGGTGTTAAAGGTTTATTAACAAAAAGTCAAACCAATTGATTTATTATGAATTAAATAATATAATACTTAATTTTTTTTGTTTGGTTTTCATTGGCGTTATTAAAGCCCTATCAAATCATATAATTTTTTATGGAATATTTTATATAAAAAGCACTAGATTATAGAGACAATCATATATAACTGTTTGGAGGGGAAACCAAATAAAATTATTTAAATGTTTTGCGTGGAGTAGGGTGTTCAGAAATAATTCTAAAAAAGTGTTGATGTAAAAATTAGTAAAGGGTAAAGCCTTTTTGCTCGATGTATGTATCTTTGATTTGATATACATATTGCTTATGCTCAATATCCAATAGTCTAGTACATATCCAAGTCTTCACTATATCCAAGTCCATAATCTTGACTATATCCTTGTCTATAGTAAAGTCTAGTCTTAAGTGTCAACAATAGTTTTGTCTATAGTCTTGCCTATAGTCTAGTCTATAGTCCAGTCTATAGCCTAGTCTGTAGTCTTGACTATAGTCTATTCTTTGTAAAGTCATGACCATAATCCTTACCCACTATAGCATGGACTTTAGTATCGTCCATAGTTTTGACTATAGTGAAGTTAAGTCTTTAGTATTGACTACAATCAAGTTCACAATCTTTATTAGAGTCTTGCCTGTGGTATGGACCATTGTCTTCACTAAGTATAAGTAAAGAATTTATATCAAACGAAAGATATGTCAATAGCCTTTCCCAAAATTCTTTTAAATCTCTTCATTCCGAACACCCTTAATCATAAAATTCTGCTATATGAACAATTCTATTTATTTATGAAATGAAGCAGAAATTTAAAACAAAAAAACCCAACAACAAAAAAATATTGAATATAATTTAGTTTTTAGGGGTCACCCACATAGAAACGATTTTTTTCTTTCCTTCTTTCTTCAATTTAAATGATTTGTTGTTGTTACTGTTGTCGTGTATAGTTCTTTTTGGCATGAAGTGGGGCATTGTAATAGTCCGATTTAGATCCAAATATTCATATTTATACAAAACAAAATAATTTTCATAAATAAATGAGAGCAACACATATTAGAGTCGTGTAGGAAAAATACTTTACTAAATTACAAAAACAAAAATAACAACAATAATATACATAAATAAATAAAATAAAATTATGATTTTGTTGGCGACTTGTTGTATTTTTTTGTATATTTTTTTGCCTCACGTTTTAGTGTATATTTTTTCATACTTGAACATATTGAAATTGAAAGTGTTGAGAAATTTATTGCTTAATCCTACTGAAAAAAAAAATCCACAGAAAAAT